CTGCCCCAATATCCACTTATATCAGGGGTCTCCAAAGTTTCTAAACAAAGGGCCAATTTATTGTCCATCAGACTTTAGTTGGGCCAGACTGTGGCCAGTGGCGGTGTACATTTTCCTGGCATCAGTGGGTGTAAACATTGCCACATTTGGTATTAGGGGGAGGAGTAGTGCCCCATTGTTGGTATCATTGGAAGGAATAGTTCCCCATTATTAGTGTCAGTAGAAGAAATGGTGTTCCAACGTTGGTGTCAGTTGGCATAATAGTGTCTCAGTGAGAGGAATAGGGCAGATATAGGCAAGCAAAACGCTGCAGTTTGGAGATTACTAGCTCATAGTTTAGAGGTCTGATTTCAGATTTCATGTCTATAAAGGGAAAAACCAAATAAGATTTTGCAAAGTGGGATACAGTGGATTCTCAAGAGACCTGGAATGAAATAGATACACTCTGAATGCAAATGTTTTCTATGTTTACGTTTACATTTTTTATGTTTGTCTGTAGATTTAGGCAAGCCTTTAACTGCTTGATAATTTTAATAAGAAAAGTAAATATTATGCAGAATGTAAATACCTTTGTTATACCTTTGTACAGTATACATTATTCCTGCATCTAAGAGGGTGGGAGGCTCAATCAAATCAGTGACCTTTTTTATTCTTTTTGAGGCTTTATCAACTTATTGGGCATCATAATATGTCTCACCCATAACATGGACTTTCTTGCTTCAGAAAATCTCATAATGATGGGCAGAGCTGGATTATCATGGCAGATAAAAATAAAATATGGGTACTTGCTGTGTAATTCACCTTCTTTCACATAGTTTTTATTATATGAAGATGATATGCAGTATAAGCCGGAAGTCCATTTTAACCTTTCTACTGCCTAAAGCTAGCCATACATAGATTTCTCCTGTTCAGTCCATGGGCTGAACGAGAGAAAAATAGGAGATTCCTCCATGCAAGTTAAACAATGTGAATAGAGGAATTTTCCATGATGGCTATTGTATTCTGACAGTTGGCATCAATGGCTGTCAGAATACCCAAACAGTGACTGAATCTGATTGGATACCTGGACAACAATTTTCTTCCTGGTTTCTGGGTGGTGCCAACAGGACCCATGGGCTTGAATTTTGGCCTATTCATTTCAACAGGAATCTGATGATATTTGAGCTGTCTATGGCAGCCTTAAAGGAAAACTATGGTCAACGCATACATTTTAATTTATAACATCAGCACGGTAATAACAATACAAACGATATTATTACTGACAATTCAATATAACCTTACTTAAAAAAAATCTACTTTCATATTGTGAGTGCTCTTTATCTGGTGACCATCTCTTTCTACAATTTCCTGGATTCCCTGCATGCGTTTAAGCTTTCCCTCTGCTGTTTACTTTCAATTTCTAAGGACTACATATCCCATGGTACCTTGCTGCCTGCAGGCAGTGATTCCTATACAGACTCTGCCTCTTGAAACTCCCCCTCATAGAATCTCTGTAGATCGGAAGTCAGGCTTTGTGAATTCTGTGACACAGCAATGCCTACTCACAGAGCATACAGTAGTGAATATGTGTCACAAAATTCAATTAAGTAAATGTGTGGAAATCTTCACAACATAAGATTTCAAACTTCAAGATAGTTCAGATTAATAGGAGTAGGCTAGAAATAATTGAAATTCAACGTGGAAATGAATAAACAATTTTACATTTTGGCCATAGATATACTTCGGGAATGCCATGTATGTCTAAACCAATGGAGAGCGACATATTATGAACACCAATAGCTCAGGCTTATGGTGGAAATAGTAGTGATCAGACAGGGTTATCCAGCTTGTTCGATCATTACTCCTCACACACACAAATACATTTTAGCCCAGAGATGTACGTAGCCCTGCCCAGTTGGTTATGATTATGCACGAGATCCTATGAAACGCGTTAACATGTTTTGTATACATGTCCTGGTGTTCTATGTGTCCTATGGATTAATAAATATTTGCTACTGTTCATCAATCCTCTGGTGTGTGGCTAACCCTTCTTCCTATTGCATCACGTGACTGCACCTGCCTTGGTTTAATCTGGATTGTTTGCCTGAGTGGTAATACCTCTGCTTTTTGAACAGCCTGACTGTTGGCCTGTCTTTTTTTCTACTGCAGTTAAAGTATTCCCAAAGACAAAACTTTTGTTTGTTTGTTTTTCTGTGGAGAGATTAAAAGACCTGTCAGGTTTTTATTGCTGCCCTGTGCCTCCATTAGGCAAATTCACCCTCTCTATTAGTCCTGTTTACTGGTATCATTAAAAGTGAGAGTGAAAGAAAATCCAACTTTTGTGTCTCCCCAGATCAGTAATAGAGGGGTAATATTCCAATGGAGACACTGGGGTTCATTTACTAAAATGGGAGTAGCTGGGCATGATAGCCAATCAGCTTCTAACTTCAGCTTGTTCAATTAGGCTTAGAAATAAAAAATGGAAGCTGATTGGTTTCTATGCAGAGCTGCACCACATTTTGAACTGTTCAGTTTTAGTAAATCAATCCCCCTCAGTTCTGACCTTGGTGACAAGTAGGGATTCCCTCATTTTGGAAAGATTTCTTAGCACTTCCTGTTTTGGCTATGGGAGAAAGTGAAATATATTTCCCCAATTTGAGACAAATGTAAGAAAAAAATTGACGGGGGGTTGTTACTCAATCAGTGAGCAGCATCAACAACAGCACACATATGAAGTAATTTCTCTATTGTTGCTAGCAAGTTCTCTGTCAAGTCATGTACATGCATTGTACCTAATGAACCCAGGGTACTGCCGTCCCCTCTACTAGTTCTGTGGTACACGGGAACGCAGGAAGAATCTCACCTGCCACCTATAGTATTCTGATTGCGGATACACTTCATATTCATGTACTTACATATGTTGAATTTAATATACATTTATTGTTCTTATAATGAATACATAACTGCACTAAATTGTGTTTTTACATCTGCTTAGAGTTCAGCTTTCATTTGACTCAAACCAGAAGAGCGTTAGGGATTTGTTTTATACTACATTAGGACCGGAGCCACTACATAAGCATTATCCTTCCACTGAGCACATTACCTTCGCTGAGGTAATGAAACCGCTACTCCAACACACAACTGTGAGCTTTAGAAGTATGATACACCAAACTTATTGCTAGTCATAGCCTACCGCTGCTGAACAAGGTAAGTACTGTAGCTTGATGAGCAGCAGAAGAATACGTAGTGTTTGCATTTTTTACAGTAATGAAAATATCTTTAACTATATATAAACTAGGAAATTAAAATGTTTGTTTTGTCTATATCATCCAAGCAGGTTTTTCTCTTCATTTTACAGCTTGCATTGGAAAAAATAACACCCAAAACCCGGATTTTTGCTTTTTAGAACATGAGCTCCACGTTGTGAATAAAATACACATACATAAGAAAATCTTGTAAGAAGTACTACAAATTGAAAATTGTGGACAGGCTATGGACATTCTAATATGTACATTTGATAAATGTAAATCTAAAGGCAGAACTTTATTTTGGACAGAGTTGGGCCATCTGTATCTCATTAGGAGATTGTCCTTCACTTCCTGTTCTGTAAACTCAACAAGAAGTGAGAGGATATCTTTTCCCTTTTAGACAGCTGTCATGGGAACAAGTGTACACAGTAGACAATTTGCCCTCCGTTCCTGTTGAGGTGACAATTCCTAATTTCGGATTTACGCTCACTTTCAGCCCAGTTACATAGGTGATGAGGGTAATTAGAATCTCCATAACAGGTGTAACAACAAACTGAGAGTGGTTTTTAACCCCTCATCACTCCATCCAAATCTAAAAAAAAGTTTTCCTTTGGTAAGTTTTAAAACAAACCCCCAACAACCTCTTTTAGACACTGTGGAGTAATTCACTCTTAAAGATTACAACATAAAACACTTTCACTTTCATGTTGGCTGTTCAGCTTGTCCTCCACCACCTTTTCCCTTCCTTCCCCAGCAGGGTGCAAGCTTTCTAGTGTCCAAATACAGAGCAGGCTCACAGGAAGAGAGGACGTCAGTGCATCTCTTGTGAAATTTGAGGATGTGTTGCTCCACAGACCATGCAGTTACAAAGGTCAGTGATGGAGGCTTGTTCTAAAGTTCATTTACTGTTTGCCAGGTTAATGTAAATATCAAATTGTCCATAGCCTGGATAAAGTTCCACTCCAAATAGTTTAGCACAAAAGTTGCAGTGTCTTCCAATTTTCAAAAATTTTACAAAATGCATTTAGAACCCTTTGAGTAACTCTGTAAACTTTTTTTTCCTTCAAAACCGTATGTTCTAACATGATAATAAAACATATTAGATAACTGTAGATTTGACATTGGGTATACACAACATGTAAAAGAAATGAAATAAAAGTATTCTCATTATTAAAGCAAAATGGGAATGTGTATATCCATTTTTAGACTAAAGGAAGCAAAACCTAACTATATTGTTTTGAATATGAAATAATATCTATATTTTCACTTATGTGTACATTTACCTAATCTGATAGTATTAACAATATTCAGATATACATTAGCTCAATTTGAGATTAAGCAATTTCTTTTGTACTTCTTTCTGCTGTTGTTGGCCTACAAAAAAAAAATTACTATTTTATATGGCTATTGTAGCATGGGGCTGTTCCCTGAGGGTATGCAGGAGCAGAAACATATATTGCTCTGCATACATTAGCTATGCATATGATCTAATAAGATGGGTTGTCTTCGTGTGGAATGTTGATGAAATCCATGCTGAATCCAGCCGTAAATAAACGATAAAATTTAGCAGTATCTGAGACCACCGCAATCCATGGAATGGAGGTTGATAAGGATGACAATAGTGCCTTTGATTATTATGATGGCGATGTTTAAAATTTGGTGGGCCACAAATTTCCAAGACAGGCTGATCCAGATGAACCCCATATGCAATATTCCATCCAACACAGTCTGGGCATCTCCTGATATGTGGAATAAGAAGATGTTTTTTTGGTGTTACTCCCGTTTCCGCAGATGGATGTACATGATTCCACTCACTAAACCGAGAGGAAAGGCCACCCAGGCTAGCACAAAGCAATGACCAAAATGTCCTCCTTCAGGCTTGTCTTGATGAAACTCCCTCACATGGCTTGCGTAGATCACTGCTCCAGAGAACACAGCAAGACCTGCACAAAGGGTTGGATTAGTCAGTTATATTTTGATCATAACAATGGCAGACAGACCAAAGACAAACAAGTTGGGAAACAAGTCTGACCTCTAACACCAGGAGCCATCTGGGAGCCATCCTAATGCTGAATCTGTATTTTTAAAAATCCCCCTTCCTTGCTGTTTACTTACCTTAGTTCCTCTGTAGCCTCATCCTTTGTTTGCTGCCTATCAGACAAAAATCACTGACACCAATGGGGTCATGCACAGTGGCAGGAGATCTTGCTGAAGACATTTTTGTCCAACAGGCTGAAAATACTAAAGGAGGCCACAGCTCTGGAACCAAGTAATTAGCTGGGGTGGGGTTAGAACAGTTTAACTTGGGGGGTTTATTTAGCAAGTACAACTGTAAAGGTACAAGCTACCTTTAATTACCTTATGTAGTGCATGAAAATAATCATAATTATCAATGACAAACTACAGAGGGAGTGTAAAAAGCATGATAAAATTAAAATTTAAATGTCTTACTTGCAAGTATCTGGAAGACACCTGTGGCATAAAAGAGTCCACCTTTCTCCATGGTGTAGAGTTGGCACATGAATAGCATGAAAGAAAAGCTGGAGAATAGGACTGAGAGGACCATCAGAGCTTGAACAGCATGGAACCATTCTGAAGAAGACAAGACAAACATTAAAGATGCAGTTTACTTAATGTTTTGTTCAGTAGGAGGCTGACTAAGATGGCAATCTAACATAAACTGAAATCAAAAATGGCCTAGGACAATTCTAAAAATACGAATGCAAAGGAGTTGGTACAATCACCTTGTGGTATCTGCCATATCTTCTGTCAGCTTTTATATGTGTGAGTCCCTGTAGAACCCTATGGATCTTAAGCCCAGAATGCATAAAAGGCTTTGAATTCTGACCATGCTGAGGTTAAGCACTGCCCCATCATGACATTAATACCCATCCCCTGTAAACTACCCAAAACCCCATTAATCTGCAAAATCATACAATTTTAGTAAGCAGGAGAGGCTCTGGTATTTAATTGCTGAATTACAGAAGTGGGTGTGGATCAATCACAACCTGGAATAAGTCAAGGTTCCGTGTACAGTCTGGGCCTACAACCAAGGGGGGCTTCACAGAGATACAAAAATAATTTTGAAATACAGACACCGCAAGGTCTTTGCAATTCAGCACTGTTGTTACCTTAGAAACACCTCAGAATTACTTTTAAAGTGGAACTTTCACTCTCTCTCTCTCTCTCAATCAAAATTGACTATTTTTAATCCTCATGCTGCCAGGAAAGTATATCATATTTACTTGTTTTAAATGTTTTTATATACATTTCTTCAGTTACTTCCTGGTTTCCTGCCTAGGCAAATGATGTCATACATCCCAGCAGTCTTCAGGAGGGGAGGGAGGGTTCTCAGCTCAGCCAATGCCTTAGCTAAGGACAGATGGATTCCAGGAAGTAAATGCTGCATGAATCATCTACCTTTACTCAAGATGGCCACTGCCAGAAATGCTAGGAGGTGTTTTTCGAAATTATTTCTCAGCAAAATAAACCATGGAGACATGGATGAATGAGAGAGTTTGCTTTGAATATTAACAATGAATTAAATAGCATTTTTGGTTTGTGGCACTCAGATGCAGTGCAGCTCCACTTTAACAAACCTATACACCTTAGCTAGTGACAATAAGAAGGTATGCTTTATTCCTAATATTAGTGCACATAGGTATTTTGTTTCTGTACTTTCTTGCTAATGCATCTGCCTCTTTTAGCATACAAACATGCTGAAATAAGCAGAGAAGGGAGCTACAAATTGGACTGCTTTTTAGCTATAGGTAATGCCTGCCCATACCTTTGGCGTACTGGGTTGGTATTTCAAAGAGGAGTTAGGGGCATTCCTTTTTGAAAACCCAGCTGAACGGTTCTGTGGCTATTTGACCTATTGCAATTTTAAAATAACACCAGGACCTAGCACTTCTCTTGGGTCCTGGTGGGGATCGGCACTTAAACCACTGGCTCGCAGTGGCGCACTTAGCCCAGAAGCTGAAACAATCAGCTCCAGGCTTTCCATCCTGCTACATACTGCTCCATTGGTGCACTCTAAAGCTGATAATGTAAACTCAGTGCCTCCGCAATGTGTTTACAATGGGAGTGAAGGGGTGTCAGGAGTGGTGTCTAAACAATTATTTTCATAATAAAATATATTATATTGAGGCTCAAGAAGAGCTGAAGCAGCTCTGTTTATATTTTCCCTGATGCAGCAGATCACATCTACGGCAATCTATCGCTAGTTGATTGCATCCAGCAATCGATCACCAGTATAACTGATCTGTTGCTATATAGTTGCATGGTGGGGCCTGGACCATATCACCCCCCGAAGAATAAAGAGTACAAAAAAAATGTGTGTATATATATTAGTGGTCACAAGCCTTGTGAAAAAGATGTCATCCTATTAATTTGTGTCTGACAACCTGACTTGATCTTCTTATCTAAATATTGCGCTGCAATTTTTTTGTAGGTTATAATTTGGGGTAAATGTCTGGGGCTGCACAAACTACATGAAAGTTGTGTTCGAAAAACATGTTCACTATTCCTTCCTAATTAAAAGCTAGGAAATACAATGTACTGTATGTGCCCAAAACTAAAATCAAATTAAAGCCCTTTCTGTCCCAAGAAAAAAATGTGTGGTATGTTACCAAGACACTGGGGAAATAAATAAAATGCCCTGGGACTCAAGCGGGTATATGTAGAAAAAGTCTACAGGACTTACGTGGTTAATAGTCATAAAAAAAGGGCACTGGATCTAATTCTAAAAACTGGAATATGTCAATTTTTTGTGATTTTCATCTGTATTTATGACAGGCTTTTTATACCTTGGCAGCTGGATGAAGGACAGTAACAATATGTAAATCCAACATTTCATATTCCTGATATGTGCCTGCTGTACCATGTACTTGTATGAAACAGTACCCTGTTCAGTTTGTATTGCTTACTTTGTGTGAAATCCCTGGTGTTCCTGCCAGTCGCTCTGCTTTTCCTATTCAAAACTGACCACACTAAGCATGAAAACACAGCATGGTCAGTGTTCTGGCTGTGCTGGGAGCTAATGATCAAGCTTGTCCTGATATGCTCCCTCTGCACAGCCATTCACTGGGAAGATCAGTTTACTTCTGTTTCTCCTCCACCAGCTCCTTTTGCTGCTGAGAGCAGAGGCTATATGATCACTTATAAGTTATAAATAAAGGAAAAAAAGGTATTTATAATGTTTTTCATATGTATACATAAATGTTTTGCCTTTCATTTCTATTTTAAACTGAATGGGTTGTTTGACAAGGTGGGGGTTTACACATACGTTGATTGTGTGTTAGTGAAGGAAGGCTTTTTTTTGGATTCACTTTGCTGCGACAATATTGCTTGCATTTCCATTTTTTACCTTACTTTTTTTAAAAATGGTTTTCTATTGGCGAACAGCAATTTTATATTTCAGGATTGCGCCACAACTAAGGACCTCACAGAACAAGTCTTAGCCGGAGTTACATATGGCAACAATGGCATGTATACAGCTCTGTCAGGCTGTAATGTTAGAAACTGGGTGGTTTGCCAGGAGGCTTTAAAACTGCGGCTCAGCCACCTGTTTTTACCTCCCCCAGCTGCCCATATGAAAGAACCCTGAGATCTATAGACCATCAGTAAAAAAAAAAAGCTATGGATTAAAAAATGTGTTGTGCTTTAGAAAGGCTAAAACAGAGTTTGCACAATTGAATAGATTGTCATCAGGATCAGGTTAGGATTGCAGACAGATTTTAGGAACCTATGTTCTCTTTTTAGTTAATTGATCTTGATACAGTGACATTTTAAATGATTCAGTCATAAATTAAAGTGAGATGTTTTTCTGAAGAAAACATAAGTAATGAAAACAAAAGCTAGGTGAGGATGCCAAGAGGCCCTTGGCAGAAAACAAATTCTGGGCACAGAATGTTTTATTTTTCTTCTCATTAATCATCTTTCAAGGCTTTTCTAAACAGTACATCTGCTTTTTAGGCCCACATGGAATTCAATATGTGTGCAACGAAAATCAAAAACCACAATGGAAAATATTTCAGAATACTTCATAAACTGTCTTAAGCAGAGAAAGGCTAGAACCTTTGTCAGGTTTTTATTACTGACAGGGGTCCCTATTGAGGACATTTCCTTTCACTTCATCAAATATATCTATAGAAATAAACTGTGAAAGAGATATATACTGTATATATATATATATATATATATATATATATATATATATATATATATACACACACACACACACACACTATATTTCCAGTATTGGGAGGCCTGCCTTTAAATGCATATGAACTTTAATGGCATCCCAGTCTTAGTCTGCAGGGTTCAATATTGAGTTGGCCCACCCTTTGCAGCTATAACAGCTTCAACTCTCCTGGGAATGCCGTCCACAAGGTTTAGGAGTGTGTCTATGGGAATGTTTGACCATTCTTTGTGCACTGTTGCGCAGTCATGTTGGAACAGGAAGGGACCATCCCCAAACTGTTCCCACAAATGTTGGGAGCATGAAAGTGTCCAAAATATCTTGGTATGCTGACACTTTAAGAGTTCCCTTTACTGGAAATAAGGGGTCAAGCCCTGAAAAACAACCCCACACCATAATACCCCCCTCCACCAAACTTTACACTTGGCACAAGGCAGTCAGACAAGTACCATTCTCCTGGAAACTGCCAAACCCAGACACATCCATCAGATTGCAAGACAGAGAAGTGTGATTCGTCACTACAGAGAACACGTCTCCATTGCTCTAGAGTCCAGTGGTGGCGTGCTTCACACCACTGCATCTGACGCTTTGCATTGCACTTGGTGATGTAAGGTTTGGATGCAGCTGCTCGGCCATGGAAACCCATTCCATGAAGCTCACTACGCACTGTTGTTGTGCCAAGCTGAAGGCAACACAAAGTTTGGAGGTCTTTATCTATTGACTCTGCAGACAGTTGGAGACTTCTACGCACTGTGTGCTTCAGCATGCTCTGTCATTTTACGCGGTCTACCACTTCATGGCTGAGTTGCTGTTGTTCCCAGTTGCTTCCACTTTGTTATAATACCACCGTGGAATATTTGTGGACGGCATTCCCAGGAGAGTTGAAGCTGTTATAGCTGCAAAGGGTGGGCCAACTCAATATTGAACCCTGCAGACTAAGACTGGGATGCCATTAAAGTTCATATGCATTTAAAGGCAGGCCTCCCAATACTGGAAATATAGTGTGTGTATATATATATATATATATATATATATATATATATATATATATATATATATACAGTATATATCTCTTTCACAGTTTATTTCTATAGATATATTTGATGAAGTGAAAGGAAATGTCCTCAATAGGGACCCCTGTCAATAATAAAAACCTGACCGTGGAATATTTAGTGGCAAGAAAATTTCATGGATGGACTTATTGCACAGGTGGCAACTTATCATGGAACCACGTTTGGATTCACTGAGCTCCTGAGAGCTACCCATTCTTTCCCAAATGTTTGTAGAAGCAGTCTGCATGCCTAGATGACTAATTTTATACACCTGTGGCCATGGAGGTGATTGGAACACCTGAATCCAATGATTTGGAGGGGTCCCAATACTTTTGACAATATAGTGTATATAGTGTAGCACTCTCTTAGGTAGGTGCTAGGGTTAGATAGATAGAATTAGTTGCATTTTTTATTTAGTTGTCACTCTATAGTCAGAGCGGCTGTAAATTTTTGTTAGGAAAAAAGCATAGTTAGCTCACTGTACATGGTGAGCTGTGGTCATTTAGTTACATCTGCTCTGTGTGCTCAGCTGCTGCCAGTCTGTCTAGCTTTCTCTGTATCTAGGAAAATTTAGGTTGATGATAGGTGTGGAGTTATGCAGATGGAAGCATGAATATTGGTACAGCCTTTGACTCTGATGGCATGCTGAGTAACTGTATATATTTAGGTGGCACACAGGGCTCTGGGTTCTTTCCTGTCCAGAAGGTTAACCTTTAGATAGAGAATACTTTGAGAATGATGGAATACTTTCTTTCCTGTCCAGGACTGATCCAGTCTGGGAGAGGGCACAATGCCCTCCCAGGCATTTACTGCTATGTGGCCTCAGGCAGGCGACCTGAGGGTCTGAATGCTGTGACCTGGGTTCTGCTATGCTGACTGAGGAGCTGTTTACTATAGATCTGCTCTGGCATCACAGAGGAAGGCTTCCAGCTGTTCTTGGCCCTTATTAATACAGACATCCCTAAAGGATCTTAGAGACTGAGTGCTGTTTAACCCTCTCTGGTGCTGGGAAGTCAACTGCGGGTTCAGTAAAGGGAATACCGGCTGGTGTTCTGAAGATTTTTGTCCACCTGACCTACTTTTAAAAGGACTCTAAAAATGTTATGCTACTACTACTACTACTACTTTTTATTGCTGCCCTAAAGCTGAAGTCCATTGTTTGATTCAAGACACTGATATTGCTTGCCCTGAAGATTAGATAAAGTCCTCAAGTGTACATAGTTCTATTTTTGGAGTATCCCACTCATCTCCCTCATCCCTATCTAAGTTCTCCAAAAATAAAACAACAAAAACAACTCCCCTAGACTAGTTATTGGAGAAACATGTGAAAGTAACTAGGCAAAGGGGCAAAGTAACTAGGGAGGACCTGGACAGTTTACCTGTGGTTCCTATGGGAGTAGCAGTACAATAGTATAATCATATGTAACTAAGACCACTGTTTCCAAAATAGCAAAAAATTAAATAGGTCCACTTTGCTGACTAATAGGGCAAGAACTCAGGAATACAGTACTTTCTGTTATGCTGTGCACATGTTGCTTGCCCGCCATACAATGCTTTAATTAGTCTTAAATTGATTCAGCAACTGTGATTTTGTTTTCTTTGTTGTCTGGACATACTCATGAAGGGTCTTCAGATATGTTTTGGCTTGGTCTGCGATTTTTATATGCATGTACCTATAGTAACAGTGACTACAACAGGTATAAACGGTAAGAAAACCTATCATGTACTGAGATGCTGGACCTATCTTCCACCCCGTAGTCTTATAGAATATTTAAAGAATCTAAGAAAAAAAAAACTGGTTGTAATGTTATTTTCATGTTAGATAATGTTATTTATCAGAAAAACAAAGTTACTAAAGAGAATGCCATATGATAAATATAACTTGTTACAGGCATGGTAAGATGATAGTACTGGTGCTTCCAGTAGGTAGTGACTCATCCAGTTCCAACTGCCCAGGTAGCTTCCAAGGTCTCCCCACTCACTGGACCTGTGATTGTTACCCCCTGAGCTGCCTAAGGTGTCTTGAAATGTTTCACTGTGGTCAAAATGGGACCAGTCACTTCACTGCAAGCAAGTTGAAGTGAAGGTGACATTGGTCAATGGTCATGTTATCCTATCAATTTTACTGGTTATGCTGGTAAAAATACCAGCCTGGTCGGAAACATACTGTATTTGCCCTAAAATGACAGCTGCATTCTGATTCGTTACAATGAGCAACATGTACCTTTGTTAAGGCACTTTTTATGAAAAGGACCCGTTCTTCTTTATGACCACCAAGCTAAAAAAATATTAATGACCTTTGCATATATACTGTTTTAACTTACCATTTGTTGACACAGAAGAGCACAACCAACTTTCTGAGCTGTTGTTATAAATACAGTCATGCCAGAGGTTCAGTGTTTCATCTTCTGAAAGTACCCACCATGACTAAATTGGTGACAAGGGAAAAATGAACAAAGAATGGAGAGATTATGATAAATTGTCAAAATGCAATATACAGTATATTTTCATAAAGTACACTGCTTATTGAATGAACATATAGATATTGTAGAGTTTACCTTCTCTCATTACCTTTAAAATACCAATTACATATTATAAACACAAATTATATACCCACCTAAAACACCTATAACTATAAAAAAGCATAACTCATGTCTTTCCTTCCCTATATACATGTGGATAATAAATGTCCACTGTCCCCCAAGAAGGAAATCACACCAATGCAATGCATACAAAATGACCATTTATAAAGTATATGACCATTTATAAAGTATATATATACAGTTGTGTTCAAAATAATAGCAGTCAGACATCACTAACCTGATCAATCACTGTTTTTGGTAGAAATGATATTTCTACATGGCAAATAATTTACTAGCAGGTGTAGTAGAGTAATAGAAATCCAACAGACCCAACAGTCATGACATGCATGCTGCTGATTCTGTGTAATTGAATCACTAATTGAAAGGGGCATGTTCAAAATAATAGCAGTGTGGAGTTCTATTAGTGAGGTCATTCATTCTTTGAAAAACAGGTGGCAATTATTGCCCTTATTTAAAGAAGGAAGGCAGCAAATGTTGTACATGCTGGTTACAGTGCATTTCTCTCTGAAATTCTGAGGAAAATGGGTCGTTCCAGACATTGTTCAGAAGAACAGCGTACCTTGATTAAAAAGTTGATTGGAGAGGGGAAAACATATAAAGAAGTGCAGACAATGATAGGCTTCTCAGCTAAAATGATCTCAAATGCTTTAAAATGGCAACCAAAACCTGAAAGACGTGGAAGAAAGCGAAAAACTACCATTCGAATGGACATAAGAATAGCCAAAATGGCAAAGACTCAGCCAACTATCAGCTCCAGGAACATCAAAGAAGGTATAAAGTTACCTGTGAGTACTGTTACAATTAGAAGACGCCTATGTGAAGCCAAGCTATCTGCAAGAAGCCCCCGCAAAGTCCCACTGTTGAAAAAAAGACGTGCTGAAGAGGTTACAATATGCCAAAGAGCACATTGACTGGCCTAAAGAGAAACGGCGCAACATTTTGTGGACTGATGAAAGTAAGATTGTTCTTTTTGGGTCTAGTGACCGGAGACAGTTTGTCAGACGACCCCCAAACACTGAATTCAAGCCACAGTACACTGTGAAGACAGTGAAGCATGGTTGCGCAAGCATCATGATATGGGGATGTTTCTCATACTATGGTGTTGGGCCTATTTATCACATACCAGGGATCATGGATCAGTTTGAATACATCAGAATACTTGAAGAGGTCATGCTGCCTTATGCTGAAGGGGAAATGCCCTTGAAATGGGTGTTCCAACAAGACAACGACCCCAAACACACCAGTAAACGTGCAACATCTTGCTTCCAGACCAACAAGATTGATGTTACGGAGTGGCTAGCCCAATCCCCGTATATTAATCCAATAGAAAACATATGGGGTGACATCAAAAATGCCGCTTCTGAGGCAAAACCAAGAAATAGAGAAGAACTGTGGAATGTAGTCCAATCATCCTGGGCTGGAATACCTGTTCACAGGTGCCAGAAGTTGGTTGACTCCATGCAACACAGATGTACAGCAGTTCTCAGAAACAGTGCTTATACAACTAAATATTAAGTGATTCAAAGGAAAGCAAAATCTTCAAACATTTTTCAGTTTATATAGTGAATGTTTGAGTTTGTAAAGAAGAATACAAACACTGCAATTTTTTGAACAGTCTAATATTCACTTTTCTTCAATTTGTTTAGAGGAACAACACAAATTTGATATATTTTTCTTCATGTTTTGATTTGGAATAGAATGTGTAGTGTTCCCAATGCATTTGTGTGTATGGAAATAAAAGCTATTAGAAGCATTTTGAACTTTATTCACTTTTTTTAACACACTGCTATTATTTTGAACACAACATTGCCATCTTAGGAGTCGCTGAAGATTTGGGTCCCCCTATAGTCCTGCACAGCCAGGCAACACACATTTTTCACACAGATTTTCATCCAGTAGACAGTAGCCAGTCCTTGAGCTTGTTTTTTTGGATTTTAATAGTGGATTGAACTTGGATAGAGTAAGGGGTGTACGGGATGCCCAAGGATATAGTAACTGAGGACAACTTCCTGGAACTATGTACAAGTCTTTACTTCAAAATCCTCTTCTTGGAGAGCTAGTCAGCATGTCATGTAGTACCACCTCAGGCCCCAGATTCTCCTAATCCAGCTGTTTGAAGGAATCCCTGGACAGGGGATCCAGTGCCTGTCATTTTAAATGTAAGACAGTCCCGGGTAGCAAGCTAATCCAGTTTCAACATAGAACACTTTTTATATGAAGGGTCTGCTATGGACTTTAAGGGCGACCACACACTGTTTTTTTGTGGAGCTCCCCCCTACAATCCATACTAGACCCTCATCTATGAAAAGGATGGATGTAGAGGGGAATTCCAACTATTTTGTTTACAAACAGAATAAATCAGCCATGAAGTGTCATTAACTGTCAATTTCATTTTGTTTTTGTTGTAAATGTCACTTTTCTACAAATGCACCACTTCAAAGGCAGGTTTAAAGCACTTCATGTTATTTAAATTAATTGTGTATTTTTAATGTTGCCCTTTAAGCCTTATTAAAAGAACATTTTTGACAAAAAACATGCTGTCATTTAGCAACATTTTGTTTTCTTTGTAAATGTCACTTTTGCTGTACATCCTTCCATGTGCCACTTCACAGGCAGGTTTAGGGCATCCCCCATGCATTTTTCACATTAAGGTTTATTAAAAGAGCTGCTTCCTGCCAATTTGTATTTTTTTGGTACTCCCCTGGCAATTCCCAGCTCCACATGCCCCTTGTTTGGCAACCCCTTGCCTATTAGCCTTAAAAATGGCAGAATTGCTTTTCAGGATTCTCCTCCCATTGACTTCACTGGGGTTCACATTAACTGCTTCCCGTCTGCCAACCCATAATGTACTGCAGATGGGTGGTAGCTGCAGGCAAAGCGACGTACATCACTTTGCTCTTCCAGGTTTAGAGCGCACATGCACACGAACCCCCCCCCCCCCGACTCCCGCTGTCATTCGTTGTAGGAGGTGTATGTCAGCAGCTCTTGGCCAGTAATTTTGGCTGGGACTCTGACGAACTCCTATATCTAATGGATATGCAGAGCTGTGCCTGTATTTGTAAATATAGGCACATTATCTAGCTGGTTCTTCTCTGATTGCCCCCTGCCACCCTACCAGTGCCATTAGTACAGTATCAGTGTACAGTATTTTTCACTGATCACTGTATTAGTGCCACTAGCGATGTCAGATAGCATCAGATAGCCTCAGGGTCAGTTAGCATCCCTCCCAGCCAGGGTCATCTAGCGTTAGATTGCCCACACACTATCGCACTCACGCTAGATCGCTGATCACTGTCATTACTAGTATAATGTTTGTACAGATCAATATATTGATCACGAACAAAACTATACCAGTGCCCCCTTAGTATTACTAAGTGTCTACAAAAATGCAGTGATAGCAGGATAAGCCCCGTTCTCTGCCAGCACTTGAGTTTAGCTCCAAAACTCCCCCCCCCCCCCGCCATCCCTAACAAGAAGTGAAGTGTCAGTGTAATTTCTGATCACTGCCACCTGTGATACATTGCACACAAAAAACCGCAGCTTTAGCAAAATCAGGCCTGATCTCTGATCACAGGTGAATTTTATTTGTAGTGGCTCAAGCAGTCCCTGACAGCCAGGTGCTCTTTTTCCCGTGAGTTGCACTAGGTACCTGTAAATTTAGAGCCCAAAATGTCCCAAAAATGGAACATTAGTGAAGAGGCCTACAGGATTCTGAGCATGTCAGATGAGAGCGAAGGGGAAGCCTCTCTGACAGAATCCACCTCAGAATACGAACCGTAGACAGCAGCGGCACCCTGACAGGTAGACGATGGAGAAGATGTCTCTCTTAATATCAGGCGTACCCGACCCCTTGAAGCTGAAGTGCTAGGATCACATGACTTGTATCATATGCAGCAGAGTGGGGAGTGGAGAGTCCCATAAGTGCAGTACAAGCTGATAATTTTTTTTTTTTTTTTATAATATTTCTAATTTTAACATTATCTTTTATTTTTATTTTTTATATATATATATTTTTTTATTTATTAATATTTTGAATCTACGTCTATCCATCCCATTTTTGTAAATTTAATTAATTCATTTTTTATTTTTATTTCTATTATATATATATTTTTTTTTTTTATTATATTTTTTTAAATTTTTGGATTTTTTAATTTTGTATCCTTATTTATCTCCACCAACATTTTTTCCACATAGCTTCTTCTTTTTTCCACATTTTTAACTGTCCATTTTTCATTTTCCATTGTATTTGTATTTTTATTTTTATTCTCATTCACCTATCGTTACCATTTTTTCATTCTTACACAATTTTAATTACATCTTGTATTCCCTTTTGTATTTTTCTTTTTTCTTTTCCCTTCTGACACTTTTGAACATTCGTGACTTTCCGCCATTCACCTTGCAACAGTGGCAAATCACTTCTTTCATTGATGTGTTCTCTCCCTCCCACTGGTTAATCGATTAATTAGTCCCGCGCTCCCTATATATTCATCCTTGTCCTTCTACCTCCCCCTGCTTGAAAAAGGAGCGCACTTCCGCCTTCCACGGCCAGCGCATGCTCCGAAACGCATCGCAGTGCACCTTGGGTATCTGACGTCAACACGGCCATGCCACCGCTGCGCTCCAGCGTGTGTTCCACCTGGCTCTGAGGGAGGACGTGCACGCCGGCCGGCCTCACCGCTGTTCCCCTCCAGCCACCACGCTGCTCCAGCCGGAAGCTGACCTCTCCATACCGCAGAGAGATGACGGCTCTTCACCCTGGATACCACCCCACTGTTAACTACTGTTAACTACGGTTTTTATGCTTACAATTACCCTACCTATGTG